TTTACATTTCTTCACATTGCAATTTTTTTTTTTTTTTTAATTATCATAGACTGACCTCCCAGGTCCTCTGAATTTGCTGTTTCAGTTTTGTTCTGTTCTGGACTTTTCCATCTGTCGACTGACTTCCGGGTGGTGCTGCCACGTATGTCATTCTCTAGTTGTTGTCTAATCTTGTTGGTTTCCAGTCCACAGAACTCCCTTTAGGATGTTTTGAAGCACTGGGTTGGCTTTGGCAAAATCCCTTAGCTGCTGTTTATGCTGGAATGTTTTTATTACACCTTCATATATTTTATTAACATCTATGCTAGGTAGACAATTCTTGGTTGGCAGTTTTTGTTTTTGTTTTTTTCATTGTTTTATATATGTTTCCTCATTGCCTTCTCACCTGCATGATTTCTGCTGAGAGGTCAGAGCTTATTCTGATTTGCTTGCCTTTGTATGTAATACTTCTCTTTTTCCTAGCTGCTCGTTAGTTCTGCCTTCCATAGCTTCAGTTCTACTCCTTTATCCTTTCAGTGTATTGTCCACTTTGGATATTTTATTGTTAATCATTTGGACCTTGTTTTACAGATTTTGAATTGTTTCCAATGCTGTATCTATCTTATTTGATTGTACCTATAGTGGTTTCCTTAACAACAACAACAAATAGTGGTTTCCTTACTTCTTCTTTATGTTTCTCGGTATCATTTTCCTGAATTCCTTCTCAGGCATTTCCAATGTCTGCCCTCCTTCCAATATGATGTCTAGGTCCGTTTCCTGCCCATTTGTCCCAATCACTGTATCTTGATTCTGGACATGTGCCGATATGGTCATCTGTGTCTTGGGCATCTTCAATAGTTAGCTGTGACCTCAATAATTAGATAAATGTATGTTGATATTTTATTATGCTTTCTAATTGTATCTAGTTAGATGCAATCAGGAGATGTGCTTCCCTTGTCACTCTTATTACTCAACTCAGAGTAATTGTAGCTGGTGTTGGCTGCCTATCTGGTATACAGCAGCTGGTATTGGCTCTTGCCTGGATGGTGGGATTTTATAGGGTGTAATTTTTGCTGGACTATATATGACCACAATTGCTTTCTCTTCTTAGGTAATGTAGGGAGGGAAAGAGCCCCATTAAAGTAAAAAGGGGACCAAAATCACCCCAAAAAAACAGACTGGATACTATAGTCTATTATTGCAGAGAAGAGAAAAAGAAAAAGAAATTCCGTAGCAAAATATGAGTATGACTTTAACGTCCCTCTCTCAGATTGTTGCCTTCAAAGCTGCCTGAGAAATTTCATGATGTCACTGTTGGTCCTTATGACATAATTCAGGATTTAATTTTCAGAATATTTCCTTTTTAGTCTGTCTCTCTTCCACTCTACAACCCCTGTTCAGGCCTTTTTCCTAGTGATTAACAGATCAGGGCCGGCTATATCTGTTTTGCACTGCCATTTGGTTTTAATCGGAACCTTTCCCCTTAGATTCTGCTAAGCAGATCTGTGCACAATGCATATAACCCTCCAGCAGTGTTGGAATTGGGGTGTCCACTTGCTCAGGCAACCCCTCTAGTCACCAGAGTGGAGGGGTGCGCAGACCATGAGAGACCAATGAACAGTGACACAAAAGAAAAGAATGTCCACACCTTTATCTCTGAGGATGGGTCAAACGTCTGTGGTGGGAGTGCTGCTCTGATCCGTTACTGGCTCCATCTTGCCCAAGATGCCCACTCTTGGAGCTGCTGGGGCCGGATGATCAGAAAACACCAGTTCTCTTACTTCCACTACACATTCCACTGGTTGTAAGCTTTCAACCTTTCTAATTATTTCTTTATATGTAGTTCAGAGTTCTGGGACCGTCCCCTAAACCTGCTTCTTCTGGTATTCTGTGTTATTGCTGGCAGAAGTTTGCACTGCACTTCTCCCTAATCCACCATTAAGCTCCATCTCCCCTGGACCCATTTTTTAATTGGGTGACTTGTTTTATTCTTGCAGAGTTGTTATAGTTTCCTATAGATTTTAGAGATTAGGTCTTTGTCTGATATGTAGTTGGAAAATATTTTTTCCCATTCTGTGGGAAATCTTTTGATGCACTTAAGTCTCTAATTTTTAGTAGGGCCCAATCATCTATTTTGTCTTCTTTTTGTTTGTGCAATTCTCGCAATGTTTGGAAGTCTGTTTGTGTCCTCTACAAGAGCCCTTAAATTTATCCCTATTTTTTCAATGATAACCTTTATAATTCTTGGATTCATATTTAGGTCTTTAATCCATGTTGAAGTGATTTTTGTATATGGTATGAGATAATTGTCTTGTTTCAATCTTTTGCATATTGATTTCCAGTTCTGCCAGCACCATCTGTTGAAAAGACTATCTTCTCCCCCTTCAATGTACTTTGGCCCTTTGCCAAAGATCAGTTGGCTGCATGTGGATGGGTTAATTTCTGGATCCTCAATTTTGTTCCATTGATCTATGTATCTTTCATTGTATCAGTACCAGGCTGTTTGACCACTGTAGCCATGTAGTTAAAATTTGAAATCAGGGAGTGAGAGGCTTCCAACTTTGTTCTTCTTAAGCATTGCTTTGCTTACCCAGGGACTCTTTCCTTTCCATATAAAGTTTACAATAATTTTCCTTTAAAGAATGTCTTTAAAGAATGTCGGAGTCTGGAGTAGAATTACATTATATCTGTAGATTGCTTTGGGTAATATTGATATTTTCACAATGCTAAATCTTCCTATCCAGGAACATGTTATATTCTTCCATTTTGGTAAGTCTCTTTGGGTTTTTTTGTTTGGAATGTTACGTAGTTTTCTTTGTATAGGTCTGCCTTTACTTTTAATATAGGAAATCCAGGCCCAGAAAAGGTCATAGGACTTATTTCACAGTACCTTGTGGTCCCACTTTCAACATGGGTGACACTTGACAAGTCAGTCATTCTCTCTAGGGATTACAAAGAACATATTCCTTTCTTCCCATAAATTGACATTTAAAAGTCAATGGCTGCCACTAGAGAAAAAGACTGAAAAATAACATTTTCAAGAAATTCAGCACTCATTGCTATTTTGTCATTAGTTAACCCCTGTGTGCCTTGGCTCCTTAGTTAAGACATCGCCCCAACCCATCAGTGCCTTGAGAATAAATCCTTGCAGCAGTAAGTAACATGATATTTCAGGCCACAACAGACACACCTTCACACTCTTGTGTACAAGATGAGTGGTGAGCAGGTATGAGGGATATGTAGCCGAGTTTGAGCAGGGATCCAATTTCTACCTCCAACCAGAAGATATCAGAAGATTCTCGAAGACTGGCTCTATTTGCAGGCCTGGCCCATGTGAGTTGCAAGGAGAGCTTATCATTTTAAAGTGCTCCCAGTCTAATCAGGAGTGGTTGGTGTTTCAGTACGTTGTGGTTGCAGTTCCTTGGAATCGCATGTGCCCTGCTTGATGGGATGCACATCCACCCTGTGAGTAGGTGGAAGCTGTAAAGAACACAGTCACCTTGGAATTTTCTAGAGTTGTCAACAACAGCAACTGGGAGAGAGGTCAATGTGCCAGTGTCCCATGGTGAGTTGCTGGGGTATTTGGGGAGCAGTGAGAAGTAAGGTTCTTTGGTTCCTCCAAACTTGAAGGCTCACAGAGTCCTAAACACAGCTCTCCCCCATTTCTTACTCCCTCATCATAAAGTTGTGTATTTCCCAGGGCAGTTTTTCAAAGTCTGGCTGAAGAAAGACAGGAAGGGCAAGGGATACACAGATCTTACCCATGTTCACTGGAAGCCACTCATGCTTTCAAGACTGTCTCTGGGCCAGTCTGCATTAGGTTGATCTAAGCCTGGACCCTGGGGGAAAGATGACCTCCACTCTGTATGCAGCCCCCAAGTTGCTATCCCCCTGATTACTAGCACTAAAGAAGGGAATAGAAATCTACGTACCAATGTTGTTGTTGTTGTTGTTGTTAAGTGCCGTCGAGTCAGTCCTGACTTATAGTTACCCAGTACAGGATTTCTAAGGAGCAGCTGGTGAATTTGAACCACCAACTTTGCAGTTCAAACTGACCTTGAGGTTGAGTAGTTATTCTATGGCTTCACAACAGGACAGTCCAAAGGTGGACGTCTGAGAATGTCTCTTGATAAACCAGTGTGTGGTTAATCGTCCATTCCTGAAGCACATCTGGCAGAATCCTAGAGAGAGATCCTGAATCCTATTGTTTCCATTTTGCTTAATACTACTCCTTGGGGGGGTTTCAAGAATTGCCCTTAGCTGATTTGGGTGACTGCCTTTGCAGCACACTGTCATTGTGGTTCTACAAAACATGTTGAGAATAGACCAGAATTGTGCATCTAATGTTCTCTAATTGCCAGTCAATACTCTGGTAGCAGGTAGAGCTATCTCTGAGCTCTTTCTTTCTCTGAAACATCGATTCATTTGCTCAAGATAAATAAAGAGCTGCACTTTGGAGTAGAATTCATATTACTTTTTTTTTTTTTTTCTGGTATTTCCTAACAAAAGAAGCAATGCACTTGGACCCATCGATGGTTGTGAAAGATGATAACATCTCTGTTTAATGTTAGGAAGGGAGAGAGAGGAAATCAAAATAAAACTAGTTGCTGTGGAGTCAACTCTGACTTATGACAGCCCCATGTACATCACAGTAGAACCATGTTCAATAGAGTTTTCAAAGACTGATTTTTTGGAAGATCACCAGGTCTTTCTTCCAAGGAAAAGAGATAGAGTCTTACTCTACAAGTTGGCCATGGTGCTCTACATGAGTTGGTCAGATGAGGTGGGAATCAGCTCTCTCTATACCGGGGCTTCTAGAGAAAAAGCTGATGTTTTGACAAAAGCTCTAGGATGTTCTCCTCCATGAAGAGTCTATGGAATATGGGAACAAGCATCACCCCACTGGGGTTTCATGTTAACCCTTTTTATTGAGATCCCACCATTATGACAAGGGAGGCCTAGAACCCAGCCATCACTCTTTCCTGCCAGTCTAACAAGGCCCCTCTTTTACCATTCCCCAGGAACACTCCATCGCCGGTGTCTCTCAACAACGTCTCTCCCATCAACACAATGGGGAACTGTAACAACGGCCCAGTTACCATTCCCCAGCGCATTCACCACATGGCTGCCAGCCACGTCAACATCACTAGCAACGTGCTAAGAGGCTATGAACACTGGGACATGGCCGACAAGCTGACAAGAGAGAACAAAGGTATGCTCACTCACTCTACCTATTGCATTCAGACCACAGTGGAGTAAGTTATGCTTTGAGGAGCTTGACTTTTGATGGTGGTCTTGTCTTTCTGATTCCCAGTGCTTAGATGAGGGAAGTGGGAGTTTGCTCCTTGCTGACACATAAAGTGACCCATTTTTACCAAGTTGTTGTTGTTGTTATGTGCCGTGGAGTCGGTTCTGACTCATAACGACCCTGCACAGGGTTTCCGAGGCTGTTAATCTTTACCGGAGCAGAACGCCTCATCTTTCTCCCGCGGAGCAGCTGGCAGTTTCGAACTGCTGACCTTGCGGTTCGCAGCTCAATTCGTAACCACTATGCTACCAGAGCAAGAAAATGAAATAATTGGGACTTAGTTCTTTTGAACTGATGTTGGCAGATAACTAATTCAGAATTCCACCCAATGATAAAGATTGACACAGAGGAAGAGAGAGGCAAAGAAACCAAGAAAGATGGGAAATTAATTAAAATCCTGTTTGCTTCAGGACTCTGTCTTCATTATAAACATCAGCTCCAGTGAGTATATGATGATGTGGCATGTATCTTTCATCCGGAAGCAAGGGTTAAGGGCTAAAGCAAAGAGGACACTGTCTCCCCAGAAAGTGAGTCTGGGGTCTTGAGTGACTCAGTGCCATTTGTGGCCCTAGCTATCTCAGTGCCATTTGTGGCTTACAAGGAAGCCTCACTGTCATAAGCAAGGTGGGACAGAGAACTCCACTGCACTTTTGTCCTGTCTATTCATTTGGTGTAGCTTATTCTGACTCACAGGTCACAGACTACCCCACTTCATTCAAGGTAGTCTTTCAAAATCATACTGCAAAGAAGTGACCAGCCACTGAAAGCAGTGGAAATGTCTGGGCAGGAATGAGGAGGCATTAGCATCCTGCACTGACCAGGGACTGCAAGGGTGGGTGCTAGGGTTTAAGCAGTCATAGGCTTTCCAGGAATCAGGTTGGGGCTTCAGACGTCATAGATGCAGGTTTACATCCCTGTGGATTTGCCCAAGAAGGACTCCCTGGGACTCCTCCAGTCCTCACAGCCCAAACAGTTCTCCTGTACTTCCCACTCAGCCCCAGGGCCTCAGACTCTCTTTCCCTTTTCTCCTCAAAGCTGCCTCTGTGTTCTTTCCCTGCTCTCCTCCTTGCTGTGTATTTTTGTGTACTGTACTGCTGTGCATGTAGGAAAACCGTGCAAATGGAGATGAAAGAGCACAGATTTTGAAGTCTGATCACTTAAGCACGAACCCAGTCTGGGTAAGGCACTAGCTGGATGATCTTACGCAAATTGCATAAACTCTCTAAGTCAGCTCCTGGCTCCCATCTATGAAGTGGATGTAATGATGGTGAAACAGATGGATTATAAAGCACCTAACATTAAATATTGCATGCAAGGGAGAAAGCCTACAAATATGTTTTTTTCTTTACCCGTGTGCTTATATAGCTATAGAGCTCAGGAGTCCCTGGGTGATGCAAATGATAACACACTCAGCTGCTCACAAAAAGGTTGGAAGTTCAGATTCACCCAGAGACACCTCGAAAGAAATGCCTGGTGATCTACTTCTAACAAATTATCCATTGAAACCCCTATAGAACACAGTTCTCTACTCCAAAACACACATGTGTAGCTGGTCCTCAATCCACATCTGATTCTTGAGGTGAATTTGCATGTATTTGTTTGTGCAGCAAATTTAATGTTCATAGATAGAATTTTTAAACACCTCGAAGGCACAATAACAGCATATGCCTTTATCATTTATTGTCTAATTTGTCCTTATTTAATAAATGAAGCAACTCAGATATAATCTATTTAATAGATAAAGAAATTCATCCATGATCTCACAACTCTTAATGTTGGAAACCAGAATTGAATATAGATCTGATTCTAGAATTAGAACTCTTAATCATTAGGCTACATTGCCTATCTAGAGAGCAAAACTAGGAGTGGGTCCTTGGGGACTTTCAGTGAGATTGTACCAATTGCCTGAGTGATGGGCCAGTCTTAACTTCTCTACTTCTCTAGGTTTTTGGAAATCCAGAGAAAACTGGCTGAGAGAACCAGGCCCATCTAAGGGCTCTGTAATCCTAAGCAAAGACACAAACTTTTTTAAGATTTGCTGAGATGATCTGTTACCCTTCTCTGTCTTATTTTGTGTTGAGAACTGCAAGGCAGTTCAATATTTATGGATTTCCTTCATAATGACATCCATTTCCAAAAGCTGATCAACTCATCCCTTATAAATTAACAGCAGAAGTTTCTAAAAGTAATGTGATGGCTGTGTTGATGTGAGGATGAGATGATGCTAATCTAGTCGTTAGCATATGGTGTTGCAGTATTGAGTCTTGAATGAAAAACAATTTAGGCTTTCCACCCAAGGAGAGAAAATATTTCGTGCTAATGCTATCGATGAGCCCTGGTGGGGATCACTAGACTACTAACCACAAAGTTGGTGGTTCAAGCCAATCAATCACTCTCAGAAACTCTATACAGGGTCGCTGTGAGTTGGAACTGATTCAGCAGCACACAACAACAAATCTGTCATTGGACTTTTCACCGGAATGGAGAGAGGACCTGGTTTGGAATTTTCTGCTTGTAGCCTTGAGTTTCACATGCTTTTCATTTCTGATCTGCTGGGATTTGGAGATTTTCCCCCACATCTGTTTTTTCTGTACAGAAATGGACAAGAGCTTCCTTGCTGACTGGTACTCTGTATTCCATTGGAGACAACCTTGTACTTGAACCTTTCCCACTCAGTTATGCCATGGAGATGGTGAAGTTGGCTCTCTCAGTGAAAGGCATGAACAGCTTCCCCATGCCTTCCCACTAACACAACTGCAAATGGCATATTGCAGACAGTTCTGGTGCTTGAAATGGGCCAGTCAGGCTGATGATGATACCCTCTGACCTTTGATCTAGAAGTTTTATGCTCTACCTCTGCAATTGCTTACACTGCTCACTTGGAAAAATTATTAAGACAGTACCTAGCTAAGAATGCCACATAGAGACTTCTATGGCAAGATGACAGTATAGACCCTCTGCTACAAAGACATGAGAGGTCAAGTGAAACAGGTACAGATGGTTATCTTGGAACCCTAAACTTCAGAGGATAGGACAGAGAGGTGAAATGGAGACCAAATGGATGAGGAAGCTGAACAGGAGAAGCAAGAGATTAGATAAATGGGCAGGCTTTCAGCGGGCATGGAGCAGTGTGGCCATCTTGAGCTTTGGTAAACAGCTTTCAATACAGCAGCCTGCAGGCTCAAACCACAGTTGGATGTTGGTGTCAGGGGTTGCCTTTCTCCCTTTTTCCTATGTCCTACTGGTAGCCAGGGGCATAGCCACCCCATCAGTCAGTGGTACCCTCTCCTGCACAGCCTTGGCTTTGCCTAGTTTAAAGGTATTGGAAGTACCACCCAGGCTTCTGGAGGTGCATGAACCTTCCCTGAACTACAGAAGGAGAAAACAGAGAATTGAGTTCACCCTTCCAGTCTGTATCACATCCACCAGGAAACAGACGGTGAGTGCCTGAGAACACACTAATATATAATCATACAATCATCAATGAAATATAAATACAAGGACACCATGATTTTTCAAATAAAACATGAAGAAACAAGACAGAATGCCTCAAGCAAGTGACCAAAATTCAGAATCAGAAAATATAATAGAAATATTTCATAAGGAGTTTAACAGAATGCTGTTTAGGTACTTTCAACAGATTGAGAAAAAGATCAAGGAAAACAAGAACACAGAAAAAAAAACTTTTGGAGAAGTCAGGAAAACACTAAAAGAACAAACTGACAAAAGAATGCATATTTGGAAACCATACAAAACCAGCAGTTAGAAAGCCAGAAGGTTAGTACTAAGAATTCAGAAACAGATACTACAATGAAAAGGCAAAGAAGTAGAAATGGATCAATGGAAAACTAAATTTCTGAGCTTGAAGACAAGGCTCTCAAAATTCATCTGCTAAAGGGAGTCCTGGTGTGGTATTGTGGGTTAATGTGCTGCAGCTCAAGCTCACCAGTTCACCTCGGAAACCCTGTACTAGGTCACTGTGGGTTGAAAATCAGCACTTAAAAAGAACAACTGAGGGAGAATCAGAAAAGATAATTTAAACATCTAAAGTAAGTCTACAATGTATGTGTGACACCATCAAGAGTAGTAACTTATTTGTGATTGGTATTCCAAAACAGAAAGAAAGAAAGAAAGAAACAAACAAACAAAAAAAAAAAACAGAGAAATTTGTCCAAGAATTGTTTGAAGAAAACTTCCCTAATATCATGAAAGAGAAGATAGCCATTCAAGAAGTTAAATGAACTCAAAACAAGATAGACCCCAAAAGAAAATCGCCAAGACATGCTATAATCAAAGTTTTTAAAAAACAAAGACAAGGAAAAAATTCCTAAGAAAAGTTACCTACAAAGGAAAACTAGTAAGACTAACAGAAGCCGTGTAGGCAAGAAGAGAATGGGATGGCATATATAAATTTCTAAAAGAAAAGTATTTCCGACCAAGAATAATACACCCAGCAAAATTGTCCATCAAATATGATGGTGAAATTAAGAGATTTCCAGATAAACAGAAACTAAAAGAGTGTACACAAACCAGACCAACCTTATAAAAAGTCATCATGTTTGGTAAGGTGGAGGGTCCGAGAAAATGAGGAAGACCCCCGGCGAGATGGATTGGCCAAGTGGCAGCATCGGTGGATTTAAGCGTGGCAACAATAGTGAGGTTGGCCCAGGATCGGGCAGTGTTTCGTTCTGCTGTGCATAAGGTCGCTATGGGTCGGTACCGACTCAATGGCACCTAACAACAACAACAAGACAGCAAAAATGAAAATTAAAAACATAAAAGGAGGGAATAGCATAATTACAGATAGATTTCAAGAAAAAAATGTTTTTTAATAAATAAAAGGAGACCTAACTATAATCTGGAGTCGTGGTGCAGTGCTGTGGGTTAATGCACCAGACTGCAAAGCCATTTGAACTTTAAAGTCGGTGGTTCAAGCTCACCAGCTGCTCCTCAGAAACCCTATACAGGGTCGCTATGGGCTGGCACCGACTCGACGGCACTTCACAACAACAACAACAACTATAATCTAAAACTAGACCAAGTCTTACTGTTAGACTTAGTTCAATATCTACGCCCAACACTTACTCTAGTCCTAACCATAACCCTGACACTAAATGAAGTCCTGTGCCTAGTCTAGACCTAGCGATAGTCCTAACTCTATCCCTCAACAAAATAAATTAAGATTTTTTAAAGGCATGCCAGAGAGAGCTTTCTGAAGAATATCCAGGGGACATCCTGGCTCATGTGAGGCTCCCGTTCATTTAACAATGACTAAGTCCTTTAAAATTTTCCCTAATATTATATTACATAAGAAAATATATTAGATGCCAAAAATAATTTACTCCTTTATCAGTAGAAATTATTTTTATTGCATTGTACAGGTTAAAAAGTATCACATAATCAAATGAAGTTGATACCTACAGAATAGGCCCATATGTTATACATAACATGAAGAATAAATGTGTTGTTAATGAAATACCATCTGCTGCTCAATCAAGTCCTTGTAACCCAGGCATGGAAATTGCTTTCCAAGAAGGCAGGAGAGCATCCACAGCACTGCAGGGCAGTTTCCAGTTGCGCCTAGTCAGATTCCTCACTCCCCAGACAGCACAAGCATAGCTAACACCACCTCCTCTATCAGGAGCCAACAAAGAGGACACCAGAGAGCCCTCACATGTTGTCTCCAAGGTCAATGCACTACCAAACAGACGTCACATAGTTTTACCCATGTATTCACACTCTTCGCCAAAGCACATTGTTCAAGAGAGTGAACTTAAGGTTTTACCTTCTCCATCCATCAGTGTTATTAGGTACAGAGGAAGCGGTTTTCGGACAGACACTTGCAGATCATTTTCCGTTCTTAATCTAAGTAGTAATAAAGCTTACCAAATCAGCTTCCTCTGAGATGTTTATTTGGCCTTGGGTATTTCTGTCTAGGCTAACTGGCTTTGTCTACATTGTGCCAAGAAAAATCATTAAACTCACCTCATTACACAAAAGGAAAAGAAATCATTTTAATCCCGTAACTCAAAGGTCGGTTTGAATTGCAAGGTCAGCATTTCAAATTCACCAGCCAGCCCGCTCCTTGGAAACCCTATACAGAGCCCCTATGAGCAGGAACCGATTTGGCAGCTCTTAACAACAACAAAATATGTTTATTTATACAAATTGAAATTATTCAACAAACTGATGCAGCACTGGAATCTATGCCAAGAAAATTGGAAGACAGCTACCTGGCCAATTGATTGGAAGAGATCCATATCTGTGCCCATTCCAAAGAGGTGATCCAATAGAATGTGGAAATCATCAGACCATATCATTAATATAACATGCAAATAATTTTTTTCTAAAGATCATTCAAAAATGGCTGTAACAGTACATTGACAAGGAACTGCCAGAGGTTCAAGCCAAATTCAGATGAGGACATACAATGAGGGAGATTATTGCTGATATCCGATAGATCTTGGCTGAATGCAGAGAACACAATAAGGCACAGGTAAAAGATGTTTGCCTGTGCTTTACTGACAGTGCAAAGAATTTCAACTGTGTGGACAAGCTATGGACAACATTGTGGAAAATGAATATTCCAGAACACTTATTTTTTGCTCATGAGAAACTAGTACATAGATCAAGAGGCAATTATTTGAACAAAACAAGGGGACACTGAATGGCTTAAAATCAAGAAAGGTTTGTGCAAGGGTTGTATTCTTTCACCATACTTACTCAGTCTGTAAACTGAGCAAATAATCCAAGAAGCTGGATTATAGAAATAAGAACATGGCATCAGGATTAGAGTAAGACTCATTGACAACCTGCAACTTGCGGATGATAGAACCTTGCTTGCTGAAAGTGAAGAGGTCTTAAAACAATTATGGATGAAGATCAAAGACCGCAGCTTCCGGTGTGGGTTGCATCTCAGTATTAAAAAAAAAAAAAAAAAAAATCCTCACCTCTCGACCAATAAATAACATTATGATAAATGGAGAAAAGGTTGAAGTTGCCAAAGACTTCATTTTGCTTGGCTCCATAGTCATCCCTCATGGAAGCAGCAGTCAAGAAATCAAATGATGCATTGCATTAGTCAAATCTACTGTACAAGACCTCTTTAAAAGTGTTCAAGAGCAAAGATGTCAGGTTGAGGACTAAAGTGCGCCTGACCCAAGCCATGATATTTTCAATAGCCTTATATGCAGGTGAAAGTTAGACAATAAATAAGACCCTAGAAGAATTTATTCATCAGAGTTATGGTGTTGGAGAAGAATATTAAATGTACCATAGACTGCCAGAAGAACATGGAATGGAAGAAGTACAACCAGAATTTTCCAGGCAATGTTTTGCTCTGTTGTACATAGGGTATGGGTCGGAACTGACTCGATAGCACCTAACACCTAACAACATATATTTTTTTATTTGTTGTTGTTGTTAAGTACCGTGGAGTCAGTTCCGACTCATAGTGAGCCTTTAGAGAGTTTCCAAGAAGCAGCTAGTGAGATTTAACCACTGACTTTGTGGTACAAATGGACTTTGCAGTCCAGTGCATCAACCCACAGCACCACACCTGGACTGTATTTATACACACATGTATATAGGAGTCCTGGTATGGAGCTGTAGGATAAGCACTCAATTGATCGCAAGGTAAGTTTGAACTGCAAGGTCAGCAGTTCAAACTCACCAGCCATTCCTTGGAAACCTATACAGAGTTGCTATGGGTTGGAACTAACTTGATGACACTTAACAACAACAACATATACTGAAAGTGAAATGAACTTGAAGCACCATTGATGAATTACAATCCAGTATGGATTACAACATATATATATATATATATATATGTATATATATATATATGTATATGTATATACATATGCCCTCACAATTACACGAATAAATAACACCATTAAAAATAGAGAAGAGATTTAAGTTGTCAAGGATTTGATTTTATTTCAATACACAATCAACACCCATGGAAGCAGCAGTCAAGAAATTGCCTTGGGCAAATCAGTTGTAAAAGACCAATTTAATGTATAAAAGAGCAAAGATTTCACATTGAAGACTGAGTTGTCCCAGACCCAAGCCATGGTATTTTAAATTGCCTCATATACATATGAAAGCTAGGCAGTGAATAAGGAAGACCATAGAAGACTTGATATATTTGAATTATGGTATTGGTGAAGAATACTGAAAGTCCAATGAACTGGCAGAAGAAGAAACAAATCTTTCTTGGAAGAAGTGTAGCCAGAATGCCCCTTGGAACTGAGGATGGCATATTATCAGGAGGAAGTAGTTCCTGAAGCAGGAAGGACATCACACTTGGCCAAGTGGAGGGTCAGTGAGAAAAATGAAGATCCCCAATGGGATGGACTGATATAGTGGAAAAAACAGTGGGCTCGAACATAACAAAGATTATGAGTGAGAATTGTGCAGGATGGGCAGTACTTCATTCTGTTGTGCAAAGGGTTGCTACAAGTTGGAACCAACTTGGTGGCTCCTAACAACAATGACATATTCATACACACACATATATATTTATTCATAAACATATACATATAAATCGCCACAGGATTGTAATGTACTTTTAGAATCCACTGTCTGAGAAAATATACAAGAGGATTTCAAAAGGTACTTGGAAAAATTCCATTATCTTTTCATTTCAGTTTTCCATGAAGGAGCACGCTCATACAGTGATTACAAAAAAAAAAAAAAAAAAGTCTTTTTTTAACAATTATTATGAATTTGGTAATAGATTTGTGTTTTACCAATCACAACAACATCTACAAGTATTGCTCATGCTGCAGATTTTTGGCAGCTAAATACAGATTAAAATAATAGTCGTTGCTATCCATATGGAGTTTCGGTCCCCTAGAAGGCAACTCTTTAAATGTTTCTTAGATGAGTGAATGAATGAATGACTGAGCAAACAGATGAATAGCTTTCCCAATGCCCAGCTGGTTGTGTGGTTTCATGAAGGACTACTGAAGCATATTTCTATGATCTCATTGAAATGCTTGACCGAGATCTGCTCTAATTTACAGAATTCTTTGGCGACCTGGACACGTTGATGGGGCCTCTGACCCAGCACAGCAGCATGACTAATCTTGTTCGCTACGTTCGTCAGGGACTGTGTTGGCTACGCATCGATGCCCACTTGTTGTAGTGGGTATTCCCCATCTCTTCCATCACCACCCATCACTCTACCTCTACCAGCACCGATGGTCACTGGTGGAACGCCACTCATTTGGGAATGTTCTTTTTGATTATGTTTGTTATTATGCTTCTTTTGCTATCTGTTAAAAACAGAAGTCATTGTAAGTGGACACTAAAACTTAAAAACACTGTATGTTTTATTACCTAGTCATTTTCCAGTATTTTATATGCATTCCTCAGACCCCATCATCTTCTTGTGCATTATGGAATGAAACAGTCCCTACAGTATTGTCTTCAGTCCACACTACCCAAAACAAAGAATGGAAAACATTTGTGATGATAACAAATTCCTGAGAAATGAAATAAGGTGTCTACCATAGCTGTGTGAACTTAGACACAAAGAACCTGCAAAGATTCAAATTTTCACTCATAGCTCATCCCCAAACTATCATGTTCAGACAAGAACATATTTAAGAATCCATTGTTAAACTTTTGTGCCTCCTATAGACTTAATCTCCAGGTGAGAATTTCCATTGTCAAAACCCAATGGCTAGATGTTGTAGCAACATCAAGGTGTTAGGAAAATAAAGCAGCATAGAGCAATGCCACTCATAAATATATATTATGACACGCAACCACAACCTTCTTAGTTAAGCTCCATTCCTGATTGCCTATTTTAAAAGTTGTTATGAAGAGAGTGGTATCACTGATTTCAACTGTTTGAAGGCACCAGCTTAAGTCTTGGTGTGGCGCTGTAGGATAAGCACTAAATTGCTCAACACAAGGTCAATGGTTCATATCCACCAGCCGTTCCTCAGAAACCCTTAACAGGGCCGCTATGAGTGGGAACCGACTTGGCAACACTCAACAACAAAAACAAAACAACAAGGCATCAGCTGGCATATATTGTTTTGAACTCCGTGATTTGAAATGTAATCTTCACCTGCGATTCTCTTTGTGCAAAGCTCTGGTTTTGAGGAGCACTTGGGTGGATGCCTACCCTTGTAGCCAAAATGCTACATTCTAATCTTAGAGATGGAAAATAGAGGTTTGGAACATGCTCGAGAAAGAATTCACACCTATGCCAAATTAATATGAATAAATCGTACCCATCCACATGGGTACGATTTATTCATATTAATTTGCTCAAGTCTATGGAAACAAAACTCAAGTTATCACTTCTTAGAAGAAATAATACACAATTTGTTACTTAGTGACTTTAAAATCTGGGCTTCCTAAGTATTATCCACATTTCCTATTTTAAAGGGTTTCTTTTCTTCTTTCTTTTAAATGTCTTTTCCTGTTTTTGTATTTTTCTTTGCTTTTGTTTTTGTTTTTGCTCATTAATTTTTAACTGAAATACAACTACTGATTCTATGAAAACCTCTGTTAGCATGGAATAATTTTGTGAAAATTCCAAAGAAAATTGTCAACTCTTTTAAGTAGTAGCTAGCCTTTAAAAAGAAAGAAAGAAAGAAAGAAAG